CCATCTGGCTGTCCAGCTCAAACTGGCCACCAGAGTCCAGGAAGTCACAGCCCTTGTCCCTGCACCTGCTCCCTGCTTCCTGCTCTCACTGCAGCCTGAATCCGTAGCTTCATGTGTGCGCCAGGCAGACCCTTTTCCTACTCCTATAAGCCCCATGCATGACAATCTGTTGTCTACACTCTGCTCATACCCCGCACAGGGCCCTTGCTTGCCAGAGCAGCGGGGAAGGTGGACCCAGGAGCAGTAGCAGGATGGGTAGAATTGTGGTGCAGGGACAGGGGGACTGCACGTGGGAGAGGGTCTCCCTGTGGGGGCAGTGAAGCCGGTCCTGCAGAGGGAGTGGACTGCAGGCTGCTGGGCTGAGGGGCCCCCAAATATGCAGCCACCTTGTGATTCAGCATCCACATCTGTGAAATGGCGAAGGAACCCACTGGGCTGTGGTACAGCCTGCGAGGGCTGATTTGGGCCAACTCGGCCCCTGGCACACAGTAGGCCTTCAGGTGATGCCAGCAGCTGTTACAACGATTACGACCATCACCGCTGTTACCGCTGTAAAGCTAAGGCATTCAAGGCAGTGGACACAAAGCACAGAAGCACAGAACTAAAGAAGATGGTGGGAGTCTGGGGCACCAGGGGTAGGGGTGCGTGTGACAGTCAGGAGCACCGAGTCTGGATTCAGCCAGCCTGTCACAGAGGCCCAGCTTGGTTACTTTCTAGAACATGGCCCTGGCTCTTGTGCCTCAGTTTCTTCATCTGGAATATGGGGCTGATGATACCAGCCACACCACCGGCGCTGCGGTGATGATTCGGTTAGCTGGCATAGGTGCTGGCACTGCAGTCGTCAGTATGTGAGCCTGGCAAAGGGGCGTCTGAGCCGGGTCCAGCTGGCCACGCAGGGCCTTGCCGGGGCTGGAGCAGGGGAAGGCCATACTCAGAAATGTCTTATACGATCCCTCTGGAGAAAGGGAAAGCGGCAGCCCCGCCATCTGGGAGCTGGTCTGGGGCAACCAGCTGGCCAGTGCTGGTCTCTGTGGGACAGAAACCTCGCAGAACACCAGCCTCAGGTAAGATTCCTCTGAGAGCACTCCGGGAGTGAGACGGCCAGACCACCCTACAGTCGCGTCTCCTCCCAGACGAAACACCCCCTTCTCATAGCTGACATGAGTTTCTGTCTCCGTGCTGGTTTCCCCTCCATGTAGATATGATTTATCCAGAAGCCCATCATGGGATGGTCTCTGCATTCTGGCAATAGCCACACAGAGTGACTCCACTTCCTTAGACGCCCCCCCAAACTACCCAGCCAAAACCCGAATCCAGTCATGGTTTCTCACTGACCTCCTCCACTGAGACACCCTGTGGCCTCTGTCACTGGAGATGAGAAAGAAACCCAACTGTGCATGACAGCTGTGCCCCTGGTGGCCTCTGGCTGGACGGTGGCCACGCCCTCCAGAAGCTGGTTGTGCCACGGAGCCCAGCTGCCCTGACTTCTCCCTTCCTTACACAACCTTTTCCCACCCTGACACTGCACATGGACTAAGTGCTAATTAGCCAAGGAGCACTGGGAGAGCCTGAAGGCTCTGGAATTCCTCAGACCCAGAGTCCAGTACCGCAGCAGGGCTGTCCTGTCTTCCCCAGCCAGCGTCCTGTCAAGGGAGCAGGTGCTCACCCTCCTGCTTCCTCCTTGGCATTTCCACACAGTGCAGCCAGTCTGTCAGGGGATAAACCCCCTGGGTCTTAGAAACCAAGGGAATGTGTTTCACAGAATCAGTTTCATAGGTGATGGAAGAGCTGAGAAGCCTGGTGGGACAGCAAGACAAGAGCAAGAAGCCCCCACTCTCAGCTGAATGACGAGGGGAGTGAGGAGGTAACCAGAACCCAGAACCCAGGGCATCAGAATGGCCTTAGAAGGGGCTGCGCAGGGGAGCTAGAGCCCAGGAGGCAGACTGAGTGGGAACAATCCTGGCTTTGTCCCTTCTTCCCTCCCTCTAAGGTCTCCCCAGTGCCTCCCATCAGCTGACCCTGTCAGGGAGCCTTAGTTCTTTGGTGTAGAGCAGAGCAAAAGGACCGGCACATAAGCCCAGCATGAGGCTTGCCCACCCCAGCCCCTGCCCCTATGAGTTGTCCTCACTCAGGCGTTGGGAGATGTGGGCATCAGAGGAGAGGTAGGTCAGCCCAGGCTGGCAGTGACAGTGTGGGAAGCCAGCTTCCCCAGGACTAGGGAGTCAGCATGTCCAAGATGAAGTAGCTGCCAGCGAGGGAGGGCTTCTCATTTGCAGGCCTGGCTTCAAAGGCCAGCAGGGTGATGGGAGCAGGGACAGGGAAACCAAGTCAGAAACCTAAGAGGAAGGGAAATAGGGTGAGGAGCAAGTGGTTCTTTTTATGGGTCTGGGTCCCTCCTGGGAATGCAGCAGAGATTTCCATTCAGCCCTTGCCCTAGTCACTGGGAAGAACTGAAACAGCTCGTGGGGAGCTTGGATCAGGCAGAGGCAGGTGTGGCCAAGTCCAGATGTCCCCAGTGCAGTCTGTCAAAGAATAGCTGGGGATCGGGGACTCACAGGTGACAGTGGAGAGAGAGCCAGGCGTGGGGCGGATGGCTCCAACTCGTACACCTGCCGATCTCACTATCAAAGCAAGACCAGGCTGGAGACAAGACTTAGAGCTGCGGACATCTGGCCAGGGTATTCTCACGCTGTTTTCCTTACATCTATTTGTGTATCGTATGCATGGCGAGTGACCCTTAATTCTCATTTTCCTAGGTGATTATATGTAGTATGTAAGGCAGCCCTTGAAAGTGGAATAACTGAAGATACAAAAGCTAGTACGAAATAGAGTACAAGGTATAGGAATGTGGGAAAACTAAGGTTGGCATAGGAACAACAAGGCTTTATAATGAGTCTAGTGCTGTGAGCTCAGAGGGTGAGAAGGGCTGGGCGAAGTGGGGAAAGCGGGCTGTAGAGCAGGACAGAGACAGTGCCCGCGTCCACTCTACAAATGAGGTGTCCGTTTTTGGCTTTGGTGCGCATGTCCGCACCCTGCCTTGTTTCCTCCCCTCCCCTGTTCTAATGCTCCCAACACAGCAGCTGCCCTTGTGTTCCTCAGGGAGGTCAGGGGCTCAGGGGGGCGGCTGCACACCTCCCAAGCAGGGAGGCAGGGGTGCAAATTTTTTTTTTTAAGATTTTATTTATTTGACAGAGAGAGAGAGATCACAAGTAGAGAGAGAGAGAGGAGGAAGCAGGCTCCCTGCCCAGCAGAGAGCACGATATGGGACTCGATCCCAGGACCCTGAGATCAGGACCTGAGCTGAAGGCAGAGGCTTAACCCACTAAGCCACCCAGGCAGCCCCAGGGGTGCAAATTTTATATGGTCCTCCACCTCCCTTCCAAGCAGCTCTACTGAGGCTCCTGTCCCAGCCGGCAAATGACATTAGCAGTTCTCTGGGCTTCCCGTACCTGGTGGAGCTGGGTCTGTGGTGAGTTGTGGTGACAGAGGCTCCCCAACTGGGTCCAGGCTGGTCCTTGAGACACTGCAGGGGCGGGGTGGTGATGCGACACCTCCTGAGGCCAGCGCCAGACCCGTGGCCTCCTTGGGGTAGTCCCATGAGCACTGGCAGTCTCTTGGGTCTGTTCAGACTTTTGCAATCTGTGCAAAAAGAGGAAGGTATCTTCACAGTCCAAGAGAAGCCTCAGTCTGAGTCAAAGGCATACATACATCTTCTTTAGAGAAAGCATCCTCCAAAACACAAAGCCTAGAGGGAAGTTGTAAAGAGAAGGAAACTTCCCAGGTCGAGGACTGCACAGGGTGAAGGAACGCTCACAACACGTGGACCCTCCCCCGAGGAAGAGACCTGGCCACTCCAGCTCAGGTTCTCCTGCCCCAGACCCCTTCCCCTCCACACCCAGTGGAAGCCTGCGTGGACACCCCACCATAGGCTGGATTTGCCAGGCACCTGCAGATCCCGAGAACAGAGACACGTTCTTCAAGGTGAATTCCACCTTCTACCAGATCAATTGTATCAAATTCCAAATATATCTAATTTTAATGATCTCTCTTTCAGGATCAGCATAAGAAAACACCGCTACTTACAGGATTTTAAGTTTTGTTCAAAGTGCTGCTTGATGGAACTGTAGTTTTCGGGGTAGCACACGTGCTCTTGGTGTATGCATAGTAGAAGGGAACAACTTCCATGTTAATGTGCTAGCTATATTACGTAATAAACATTGCTTTCACTTTATTAGTAGTCTACGGTAACAGCCACAGCGAATGGAATCCTGATTGGGGTATTCTAGAGATCGACGGGAGGCATTTAAAACCACAGAGAGGATTCTGGTTTGTCTGGAACAACAAGAAGACCACTTAATGGTAATTGTTTAAAAAGATCCACAAATAAACATATCACATATCACTACCGCAGGGTGCACTTAAAGTGGTATATTTAAAAGGAAATTTATAGTATTAAAAATTCATATTAGAAAAGACTGTAAGGGAAAAATGACTTGACTGAGTGTCATCTTTAAGAAGTCACAAAAACAAGAAGCTCACAATAGAGATGCAAAGAGACACTTCAGATGACATGAGAAGAGAATCAGGGGGTCAACAGTGGGTTCTAATAAAACAAACCCATGGCAAGATTTTCTTTTCGTCTGTCCTTTAATATACACAATATTGAAAGAAAAGTGGGATACAGCAGATAATACAAATGACAGGAAGTGTTAGTATTGAAAACCTTATGCTAATAAATTTGAAAACATAAATGAACTGTACTGTACACATACACAGGTAAGGCTAGATCTTAAAATATACTAATAGATGAAAAATAAGAAAGATGGAATTGCTAGCACACTAACATTTATTTAAATTTTAAAAACACAGTCACTATTCAATAATTTATATGAATGCCTGTTTTACCTCTATCCGTTACAGGAGGACAGATGTACATTAAAATAAACAGTGCAAACCCTCAGGCAGAGTGCACCGTAGCCCTCCCTGGGTCCCACAGGTCCCTAAATGTTGGAGTGAGTGGTGCCCAAGAACCCCTGGGAGCTAGAAGAGGCAGGGCAGGCCCTGCAGGGTGGCTGAGGGGAGTGGGGACAGAAGGGATCAGGCTGAGGGTCTGCAATGGGGGAAGGAGACAGAGGGCAGGGTTCTGGGCTGAAGGGAGGTGCAGGTACACAAACGTTGAACCTGGAGGCCCCTTCTGATGGAGGGACTTGGCACCTCTCCAAGGGAGGAGCTCCTCTGGACAGTCCCCCCACTGCAGCCAGGGAGGCGGAGACTGTGGGAATCTGCCATTCCTCCTGGGGACTGTGGCCAGAGACACCCCTGCTCCAAGCTGGAGGTTCTGAGCAGTATGGGGGCGGGGGGTCCCATGGGGTAAGGAAATACACTGGAGGTGATGGTGTCCAGGTGCTAGATCAAAGCTGGAGAAGCCCCAAGGCCAGATTGAAGGCACTGGGGCAGCTGGAGGGGGAAGTCCCATCCAGACAGGACTTCCTAAGGGCACCCATGTGTAACTCTAAGGGGCTGGATACATCATCCAGGAGTGGACAGCACAGGGGATCCCCATGACCATCCAGAAGTTTGGGCCAATTGCAGACTGGGCTCCCAGACAGGCATAGAAGGCACAGACCGTGTGCACATGTGCCCAGGGGGTGGGGACAGCTGGAGTCACGTGGTCTTCCTTGGGGCTCTGGGATGCGGGGTGGATGCTGTGCTCCGCTGTTTCCATAGATGCTCTTGCCCCCATCTTAGATGAGAACTGCTCTCCAAAGCCAGACGGCCATGCGTTTCCCTCCTAGGCACATGGCACCTCCGGGTGGCTCCTTGGTGTTTGTGGGGTGAGCGGACAGTGTTAGGAATGGGGCAAGGAGAAGGATGTGAAGGAGATTGGAGGAGAGGGAGAGTTCCAGGTGAGGTGGTCACAGAGCTGTGTCTGTCTTGGGGAGGATGAGGAGAGAGGGAATGCTGTGACAGCACTGAGTGACCCTGTGCACAGTCCCTACATTGATTCATAATAGAACAACAAAATCAGAAATACACAGGAAGCCACCAGAAAGCCGGGTCTGCTTAAAAAGTTCCTGAAGAATTCCATCCTTGTCCCCTGTCCCTGCACCTCCTCTCCACAACCAGAGTCTCCCCCAGACAATTTCCTCCGAAGGGTACAAAACATTAGGCCATACTCCCAGTTTTCTCCTGGAATGTTCTGGAATGTTCTGAATGGCATAACCAGCAGCCACATGCAACACAATGAGGAATTAGTATAAAAGAAGTAATGAGATGATCCAGGGACCCAGAGGGCCCAGGAGAGGACATACTAGCTGTCCCAGCTATTTCTCCACATAACAAGGGTCCCTGAAACCCCCGAGGAATTTCCTTACAATTTGGAGGTTCCTAAAGTAAGAAATGGTGCCCAGTCGTCACTGGGGTAGTCCCGAGTGGTAGGAAGTGGACAGATGGTCAAGAGGCCCGTGGCTAGTAGAGAACACCCAGCCCCAGCACCTCAAGGAGCTTATGTTGGTGTGGTCAGTGCTCCTGGGGTCCTGAGGGGCCAGAGCAGCTGTAAAAAGTGATTTTAAACACAGCAGAGGAGCCACACCCAACGAACACATGCTGGCTGCACAAGACCCCGCGTAAGAAGGAAACCAGTCGGATCCCCCCCCATTCCCTGTGTGCTCTCAGCAGGAAGGAGGGAGCTGACAGCTGAGCAGAGCCCAGAGCAGGTGAGGGCTCTGGCAGAGAGGGAGGCAGATCGGGAGGGCCTGTGAATGCTGGCGAGACCCTCCTGTACACAGGATAGCAGGAAATGAGAGTCTAGAGAGGCGGTATGACCAGCTTCATGTTCCAGAAGCCTCTCTAGACCAAAGAATGGACCCCAGGCAGGAATGGCAGGTCCAAGGGAGGATGACAAGCTGGGACACAGACTGAGGGACAGTGGCATTGGAGCCAGAGGAGGGAAGACAGGTGGAGAGAAGCAGGCCTGTCCAAGATGTGTTGGGGAGGCCGGGATGACAGACTGGAGGCTGGAGGGGGCCAAGGGAGCAAGGGTGGGAGGATTCCAGGCTGATGCTCCTGTTGTGGCCTAGCAACAGGGTGGACCGAGAACCAGTTCAGTGGGACAGGGACACTGGGGAGTTTCAGGAGAAAGACCAGAGTTTGGTCTGGGTGGGCCCCGTGTGATCAGGGTTATTCCTTCTTTTCCCCACCAGGGACGAAGGAAGAGTCACTGGGAAGATGAGGTCTGAGAGCTGTCTTCCTCCTCTTTCCTGATGCCCAGACTGAAGGACAGGTTGGAGGGAAGCGAGGTTCAGTGCTCTTTCCTGGTGGGGCCTGGGGAGCAGGTGTGGCCCTGATGTTAGGAGCTAGAATTGCTGGGGACGGCAGAGGTGGGCTTGTCTCACCATCCCTAAAATGTGTGGCTGGGGCACCTGGGTGGCTCAGACAGTTGAGCGTCTGCCTTCGGCTCAGGTCATGATCCCGGAGTCCCCGGATCGAACCCCGCACCTATCTCCCTGCTCAGCGGAGAGTCTGCTTCTCCTTCTTGGCTCCCAAGCCAAGCGGCTCCCCCTGCTTGGGCTCTCTTTCAAATAAGTAAATAAAATCTTTAAAAGAAAATGTGTGGCTGAAGAAGCAACTCATCCCCTCCTGACCAAGAATGGGGTGGGGTTGGGGGGCCTGGGGCTGAGGAGAGGGCAGCAGCCCCAGTGAGGAGCCTCTTTAGGGATAAAAAGGGGGCAGAGTAACAGCCAGAGACAAGAGGGGAGGTTGGTTTGTCCTCGATAGCAGCAGGGACCAGAGGGAGAGGGGCCGAGCCAAACACCAGATAGGGACCCACAGACCCGGGCTCCCAGCATCTGTATACAAAGCCACACCCACTCCAGGCCTGAGATGCAAGAGACCCTCCCAGAAAGGGGCCTGAGGAAGCCCAGAATATGCTGGGAAAGACCCAAGTGACTGGCTAGCCTGCACTGAGGAGGAGCCCCTTTTCCACAACGGTCCAAAGGAGGGCTCTAGAAGGAAAACAGGTTTGGTTCCAGGAAACCGTACCACTTTGTATCCATGAACTTGGGGGCTGTGACATGGGCACACCATGCAGGTTCAGAGCACCCTTTATGGAATTCATGCTCAAAAATTCCAAGGAGTGTTCTCAAAAACTGACAGTGATGGAGGAGGCCATTTTGCATGATACTAAAACCAGGAAATATTTAAATTTAAAAATTAAATATCTAGTTAAAAAATAAAAAATAAAAATCGGCATGTTCAAGATCAAAAGGCAAACCACAAAATGAGTGGGATTATTTCCAACATATGGTGGGCAAGGGCCAATAATCTGTCTAACAAAGTGCCTACTAGTCAATAGTGAGAAAATAGGAACCCATCAATAAAAACGGGCCAAGGGCAGCTACAAGCAAGTCACAGAATAAGTTATTGCTTGTCATTTATCCTTCACCAGCTGTTTAGATGTTTGAAAAGTCAAATTTTGAAAAGAACGGAACTTTTACTTTTACGACTAATTTGATAAAGAATAAAGTCTTGTGGGATGTGGCTCAGTTGGTTAAGCGTCTGCCTTTGGTTCAGGTTGTGATCCCGGGGTCCTGGGATAGAGTCCCGCATCGGGCTCCCTGCTGAGTGGGGAGCCTGCTTCTCCCTCTGCCTGCCCCTCCCCCTGCTTGTGCGCATGCATGCATGCTCTCCCTCGCTCTCTGTGTCAAATAAATAAATAAAATCTTTAAAAAAAAAGAGTAAATGAAGCCTAGAGATGGCATTTTAAAGGCTATGGAGAAAAGCTCCTGCTGTTTTGTTGTTAAAAGAGCACACACTACTCTTTGGGGTTCGATATAGTGATAACCATCAAAACATAAAATCCTGACTTGCAAATTCCCCTTCTCTGATCCAGACACCAGGCATGCCTCAGGTGAGATTTCAGATTAACCTGACCTGGGCCTCCCGGGTGCGCGTGGAGGCAAAGTTCTTAGGATCCTGGTCTCCAGAGAAGACTCTTTAGGGAATCACACCCATCTGGGACCCAACCCCTTTCTCTGAAGAGGCCCAGACCCCAGGAAAGATTGACCCTCCTGCACCCGGTACCCATCAGGCTAATTTGTTCTTCATCACAACATAGTTACTTGATTTTCCTAGAATATTTCCTTCCAGTGAAGTCTCCAGTGAAGTCTCAAGTTTGGCACCCAAAAGGCGGGGTTTACATTCTTTGGTGGTTAGGGAGACAATATGTGTGCTTTTTACTGATTGGATGTCTCCACCTGGCCTGACTCATCCTTGTATTCTGGGCTTTGTTATCAGGAACTGGCCGACCTGGCCTTGTATACAGTGGCTGAAATGATCTCTGAAGAGGTGTTAGGTTCTGCAGGCAGCACTGCAGCCCCAGGTCCCAGGTCCCAGGTCCCAGGTCCCACCCAGGTCAGGCTCTCTCTGTTCCACCGATGTATGGATGCCCTGCCCCAGCTCAGAGTAGGAGGCCGTTCCTGAGCACTCTGGCTCCTTCCCACTCTTCTGCTCTTTTATAGAAATATGTGCCATTGGGGGTGGGACTGGGCTTCAGGAGTTCCTATCAGATGGACTCCCTCCATGTGATTCAATCATAGGAGTGTGAATGCATTCAAGGGTGGGTTGATTGGGTCATTTGCTTATCTCAGAAGCAGAAGGCAGAGCTAAACTGAATTAGGGGCAGGGTGTTACCAGAGTGTGAAAATGCCCTCTTCCTAGTGTTAGGTTCGTTATTAAACGAAACGAGACTGAGACAAAGTGAAAGTTATTGAAAGCTTTATTTTATGACAAGTATTAGAAGTCAGACTGATCGGCCAGGGGAACGAGACTGAGACAAAGTGAAAGTTATTGAAAGCTTTATTTTATGCCAAGCATTAGAAGTCAGACTGACCGGCCAGGGCCGTCTCCGAAGAGGGCGACCCCTCCCAGCCTCACAGACTAACTTTTATAGAGCAAAAGCCTGGCCACACATAGATGGCCAAGGAGATTGTAACATTGCATAGTCATGTTAGGCCACACGCAGGTGACCAATTGAATTACAATTTACCCACTTTTAGTAGCTGTTTGAGCTAACCTATTAGTCAGAATTGGCGCTCAAGTTTGGCACCCAAAAGGCGGGGTTTACATTCTTTGGTGGTTAGGGAGACAATATGTGTGCTTTTTACTGATTGGATGTCTCCACCTGGCCTGACTCGTCCTTGTATTCTGGGCTCTGTTATCAGGAACTGGCCGACCTGGCCTTGTATTCTGGGCTCTGTTCTTAGGAACTGGCTGACCATATTTTACTGGTTTCCCAGACTTGCTTCCAAGTAAGTTTCTCTGGTGGGGGGAAGGCGGGGTGCAGGGTCAGTTTACATTTTACTGCACAAACAACAAAATGGCTTTTTAACCAAGATGGAGTCGCTCTGGCTAAATAGATCCCTACACCTAGAGAAGTGATCAGCGAGGTCGTAGCCTTTAGCTGAGTCTGAGCGGCCTCAGCCTTGTGGAGGGAGGAAGAGCCACAGGGACAAGGAACAGAGGATGTAAAGGTCCAGGGGGCCTGCCACAAAGGCTGGAACAGAGCCCACTTTGGGGGAAAGCTAGAGCCAGACAGCTGTACCTTCCAGGGCCTCGTTCTCCTGGCTAGAGATGTGGGTGTCTCCATGCAGCAGCCGTGGGATCCATGGCAGATTTTTAATTAGAAGTTACTGTGTGTTGAGCAGGGGTCACTCCTGCCTTTGACCGGTCTGAATGCAAACATTC